AGATAAGTCGAAGGGTTCATTTTGAGGAATATCATTACCTGGTTCAGAATCCTGAGAGCCATTGTCACCGACAATGGATATTCAACAATCTCAAGTTCAAGGAATATTATCGATCCTTTGGCATACAATTGAGATTCAACTCAATAGTCCACCAATAGACCAATAACTTGGCTGATGTGATAAATCAGACCATATTATAAAGGCTCAAGAAATAAGTGATAGGCGTGAAGGGCACTTGGGTCAAGGAGTTGCCTAGGATCCTATGGGCCTCATAAATGATGATAAAGTTTAGGTTGGGCAAATTGCCATGCAACCTAGCATTTGACACAAAGGCTTTCCTACCCGCCAAGATGAAGTTCTTGACCCCTCGAGTTAAAAGCTTTGACAATACCACATCCAAGGAGGGGCTTCGTGTAAGACTAGACCTCATTGATAAAGTTTAAGTTGATAGTCATTTGAAGATGCTTAACTACAAAAAGGTCATCACACAACTCTATGACAATGACATCCAGCCTTGGTCCTCTAAAAGGTTGAGATAAATAACTCGATGCATTCCCCATGAAAAGTTAGCCCCCAGTTAGGAAGGACCTTATCAAGTCATCAAAGTGGTCTGAGATGGGACCTACCATCTTAGAACGATGGAGGGGTTGCTACTACCACTAATGTGACATATATCCAACCTTAGAAAGTTCTAACCCTAGCTCAAGAAGTGTCGACGTGAGTTGCTTGACTAAGGAGACATACCGAGAAGATGTTCCGACAACCAACTTTGAAGAATGTCCAACATGAAGTTCTATAAATCAATTGATTAGTATAGATTTGAAGATGGGGAATGACTCTAGGCTATCATTGAAGGGGATCTCTAATACTCCTCAACCTCCAACTCTAGGTGTCTCGCATTGAATCTACTAGTCATAAATATTCTGCAAGCTAATCATACGAGTGATGACACATGTGACATGATACACACTCTTTTTACTTATAATTATTTATTAGCATTTTTTCTCACTTTATGTTGCTAGTTGCATATATTGTGATGTTCATGGATCTATGCAATAAGAATCAGATCATGATGAGATCATGATAATGAAACCGGTTCACCTTTAAACATAAACCATAAATGATCTTGGTCATAGGTTACTCGAGAGGAACATCGAGATAACCATATAGACTGGTACACTATATACCCATCCATATGATAGAGGTGACTGATCTCATAGTTGCTTATGTGGGGACACTAGGGATATCATGTAGATGCTCATTGGAGAATGAGTTTACTGATTGATCCACTAACGGAATGTTGGATGGTTGATGATACCTCATTATCAGACAACGATTTTATCATCTCAATGGTGAATCTAGTCGTTAGATTTGAAACACCAAAGATTCCTATATGAGTACTCCACTTTTTGATATCGAACTTATAGGTCTAGAAGTTTCAAATCTAGTATAACCAATCATCGGGAGTGGTAGCCAACCTTATAATGGCTATTGAGTGTCAATAGAGGATCATCCACTCTTAGTGTCATGAGAGGAATATTCTATATGTTCTTGCTCAGACAATTCCCTTGTTAGGATCATTCGGATTGAGAAAAAAAGAGTTATTTGGGAGAATCCGATTAAAGCGAGGCTCAAGTAGAAACCGTATGGGCATGATAGTGTCATGCCCGGAATACGGTCTTTAGAATATTAGATGAATGAGGGACTATAGATACATGATAACTGAGGATAGACATGTCTAATGGATTGAATTTCCATGTATCATCTGTGGATTGCGACGTAGTGGCATAGTACATCCACAATCGATGAGTCGAGTGAATTATTATATAAAAAATAATTCACTGAGCCAAAAGGAGTTCTGACATATATGACTTATGGCTAGCTCTATATTGAGCCTAGAGAGTCACACACATATGGTAGGTGTTACGATAAGTAAAGGTTCGAATATAAGATATCCACTAGAGCCCCTATTTTATTATATATCAGTAAGCCCTTGAATCATTGAATCCTATGGATGAGATCCAATAAGAGTCAATGAGAGATTATTGGATAGAGATTCATTAATCTAAGTGACTTGGGTAGTTGGATGAAGATCCAATACCCAATAGGGCAAGATCTATTTGAGTAAGTTTATAAGAACCTCTATAAATAGGAGGGAATCAAAGGGTTATAAACTAAACTCTTTTGGCTACCACCTCCTATACTTCTCTCTCCCTATCCTCTTTAGCCAACAACCCTTATTTGGGGTGTGTGGACAACAAGAAGGGCCAGCCCCTTCTTGATCGTATGGTGCACATGGAAAAGAGGATTATATATTGATTTGATGAGTGTCTTCGTAGCCCAAGCTGTATGGATCACCGCTAGAGAGGAGGACAGTTGACCTTCTTCATCCTCTCTCATAGATCTGTAAGTTTTCAGGGATATACGATCTCCCTAGATAACACATCCCTTAACACATGTGGTTTTTTGATTTTGTGGGTTTTTTCATATTTCCACAAAAAAACTATTTTTTTGTGGAAATATGATATTTTTATTTTTTGTTCTTTCATTATGCATATGATGTTGCCCTAGGTTTCCCAACAGAATCAAACTAGGGCAAGAAGATACCCATACTTGAAAAACTCCCTCGAATGTACTAGCCCCTTCTTGAAGTCGATTGAGGACTTGCACCTCTCGATCACCTTATTCTCCCTCTTTGGTAGCAAGGCTGCCTCGGCCACCACTTGCTCGAACAATTCAATGACCCAAAGCTTATACTCCTAGATTTGTCGATCATAGTCCTTGAGTCACTCCTTTAGTTCCTTTATTATTGCTTGGTGTTGGAGCAGCCTATCCTCCATGGTGTGTTACTACCCCAACACCACCTTTAGCTTGGTTACTTGAGAGGCTTTAGCCTGACGGAGCTTTGCGATACCCGCAAAGCTTTTGCTCGATGTGACACTTTATAGTTTTTCTTGCCAACGAGTGCATGTCTAAATAGTATGTTGACGTCCTATGGAAAATATGCTCGAGATGTCTCCTTAGAGTAAAGCATAGAAAATACACCCGAGACATCTTCCTCGATCTAAGTATGGAAAATGTACCTAAGATGCCTACCTTGAGCTAAGCAATAAAAATGTGTTCATGAGACCTCCCTCAAGCTAAATATGGAAAATACGCTTAAGATGTCTCGTGTAGGCTAAGCATAGAAAATGTGCTTGAGATGTCTCCCTCAAGCTGAGCAAGGAAAATGCATCTAAGATGTCTCTCTCAAGCTAAGTATAGAAAATATGCCTAAGATATCTCTCTCAAGCTAAGAAAAATACTCATGAGATGTCTTCCTCGAGCTAAACATGAAAAATGCACCTTGGACTACATATGGAAAATGAGTGAGACTCCTCCCTTAATCTAAGTATGGAAAATACACTCAAGATGCCTCCCTCAGGACTAAGCATGAAAAATATTCTCAAGACATCTCCCTCGAGCTAAGAATGAAAAATACACCCAATACGCCTCCCTTGAGCCACTCAAGACTCTTCCCTGAGATAAGCATGAAAAATGTGCTCGAGACACCTCCCTTAGGCTAAGCATGAAAAATGCACTCGAGATATCTCCCTCAGGCTAGGCATGTCAAGTGTGCCTAAGACACTTCTCTTAGGCTAAATGTAATAATGTGCCTAAAGTTTTCACCTTCGGTTTAGTGAGACACTACAGTCGAGGCACCCTCCGAGGATGGGAAACCTAAACCCTAACACGTAAAAACAACACCTAAGAGATCCATTCGTCATGCCTCGAGTTGGAGTTGGGTGTGCCTTGACGCCTACAAAAAAACCTCGCAAACATTTTAGGTGATATGAGGGGGTGGGGAGGGAGCTTTTATCTGACCCTTTTTGAGAATATCCTTCGAGCATATAATATATATCAGTATGGGTGTATAATGCAGTATCATGTATGTCAAATATAGTGTTATTTATCCTTAATCTTCTTCTTTCCTTAATAAAGTTGAAATCGGTAGCTTTTTGTTTATTCTATGATCGAACTTTCAGTAAACAAGTTGATAATGATTTTCATAATGATTTTCATATTAAGATTTATAGCGATGCATGATTTTTTATTTACGTCTTAGTATGAAGTCAACTAAATGTTATGCCTTATCTAAATAGGCTCATTAGAATGAACCAAAGATCTAAATAGCCCTCACCGCAATGTTTATAAATTTTATATTGCTATCGTGAATTAATGAAGCAATCAATTCAACTACTCGAAGTCACAATGCTGGAAAAGATGGGCCTTCTTTTTTTTGGGAGGATATTTTCTCCTTTGAGTTATCTTACATTTTGAGCTGTAACCTCCTTATATCTTAATAGATTTATTTTGTAAATCTTTATATCTTAATAGATTTATTTTAGACAAAAAACGAAAAAGAATCCAAGGACTTATTGAGATCCAATTTCCTACGTGGTTCTTAAAATATTAATGACAATAATCAAAATTATTATTATTATTATTATTATTATTATTATTATTATTAATTAATTTGAATCGAAACCGAACTCTAATAACTAATTATTTTAAACATTAAAAAAATTAAGTAAAATCCATACATTTCCCGTTCCAATCAAATTATTTATTTTTAATTATATGGTATGTTCTAAAAATGCGAGGGTGTCATTGGAACA